CTAATATTGCATTTTTTTTTAAACAGGATTACTCTTTACAATTTTAGGGAATACAAAAGGATGTATTAGTACAAATTGTAATAGTCTATAAACTGATTATCAATTCTTTCCAAAAACTGAGCAAAAGCTGATGGACCAGAAATTATAATTAGTTAAAGCTTGAAAACTTAGGCCTTAAATCTATACAGAGGAAGGAAACTTCTAATGATAAAAGAAAATTAACTCCTTAAATCAGAAGTGACAGGGCTGGTGCCTGAGCCCACTCTCAGAAAAGGGGAGGTAACCCCTCACCACCTAAGTAAACATTCTTTTGCCTGTTAATTGCTGGTTGTAAAGATTTAGATATAACCATTAACTTACTATTTGGTATAGGGAACATGTATTATGCTTGGTTCTCTGGCAAAATATCTCTTAGACAGCATTTTGTACCATACAAGCTACTGCTTTAAAATAAGGATTTAAAACTTTGGCTGGGGAAACAGGTAAATGCAACCATAACAACGGTCCCCTTTGCCATAAGACAGAAAGAATTCGGACTATACTGTGTTGGAAGTACATAAGCCTTGTATGGTTTTGCATACTCAATATAGCATATCTGCTGATGCTGGGTTGCATTCTCCAATTTTAAGAGAAATTGTCTACTCTCTTCAGTTAGTTGTTTAGGTGAATTGCGATAAAAGGACTTAACCATTGGAATATTTCCTAATAACTTCTGAAAAATCATTCAATGATCATAAGCTATTTTTTCTAATTTTTAATCTTTGAGGCCTAATTTCTTTAGGATGCAACATAAGTCCCAAATACTTCTGAGAACTTTCTACTTTGACCTGTAAAGCTTTCATTAGCTGACCTGGTCTCATTTGCATTTTCACTGACACCTTTCTAGGTGTGTGTGTGTGTGTGTGTGGGGGGCTAACAGGGCCTGCAGTTCCCTGCAGTTCAATAGCTTTTCTCAAATCTTACATTAACCTCCATTCTTTTAATTTCTTTTTTAACCACCAAAATTTAGGAAGATTTTTGTATTCTCTCCTCTGCTAAACTCTTTTGAGACATCCATACAGATTTCTCTGGCTCTCAGGCCGTTCTGCTTTGACCATTTCCTATTGTTTCATTCTGTAAGACAGTCATGGGAGATGCAGATCTCCAACCCTTTCAATTAAGACATGACCTGATGTCTCTCACTCTCTGTATTATGTTTTGTTTTGATTTTTTATATCCCAAGCAATTCAAGTAGTACCTATTGTTGGGATTCACACATTTACACATTCACAATCACACTTCGGACACTCAGACACTCATGTGTAGCCACACCATACATACAGAGCATACATACATATTTTAGCTCTCTTTTTCTTTAGACCAAGATTAGTTTGTTGAAATAAAACATCCTTATTGAAATCTCTTGTAATGCGGCTGCTATAGACAACCCTTAAATTATGAGCATCTGAAATCTGAACAATTTTCAATAAATTCACCTGTTTCTGACAGGCTGCATTAATTTTTCCATACCCTTGGCTGGGCGTTAGCTACAGCAGGAGTTTCTAAGGCTTAGGGCCTCCTGTTCTTGAAGTAGTCTGTTAAGATCCTCAGCCACCTTTTCCCATGTCAGGGGGTGAATAACCTAAGGACAATTTTTAGAAAGGAAATAAAAGAAACTTACTAACTCTTTATATGAAGCTCTAATTCCTCTTTCTTGAAAGGAAGACTTGAAGTTCCTAATGAACTTAACTTCCTTGGACAAGGATTAACCCATTATTATGGAACGGAATGTGTGTGTGTGGGGGAACTCACCAGGAATTCAGCGTGCTCATGAGCGGTGAGGACGGATTCCAATTTCCCCTTGCTGCAGCTCGCAGGTCTGCAGGTCTGGCACTCTTCTTGGTATGCCCTATTGACTTTCTTGGGGGGGGGTAGGGGACTCCGTTCAGTAAAATCCCTCCCTTGAGCATTACGTTGGGTGCCACATGCCCCAACCAGTGGGGCCTAGTTATTTGTGGGTCGAGGTGGGCTAGAACCTGAAAATAATGGGAGAGAAAGAAGGAATGAGACCAAGCAATCTTTGTCAAGGTCTAACTTTATTGGGCACAAAGAGGGGTTTTTAAAGCAAAGTGGGGAGGAAATGGGGAGGGGTAGCTGTGCTGACTCTGGGGCTCTGGTAATGTCCCAGGCCATAAATGTCTGCTTATCTCAGTTCCTGGTGACTGGTTCATCTCAGTTCCTGGGTTGAGTGGAACAGACTGCTTGTTTAGCAGTTTTCTGTTTTACCAAGATAAGGCTCAATTAGAGTTTTAAGGTGTAAGTATTTCTCCAAGAGGATGTGACTTAAGGCCAGCTCCCAACAGCCTAGTTTATCTGACAGACATTTCTGTGAACCAGGGTAATCTGAAGGGCTAGACTACCTTGTCTTGGCAAGGTTGCAGTCACTCTTTTTGGTGCCCTGTTTGACCAATTTGGACAGCAAACTGTCAGCAGTTGAGGTATTTTCTTGCTCAGTGGCTTACATTTACCACAAAGAACTCAAACTCCATATGGATTTTCTTCAATGCCCATCATCTTCTCTGTTGTAGATTTGTGCTGCCAAGAGCAGAGATGTCTCATTGTCATAACAAAAGAACCTATGTTATTAAAACATATTAAATGCCATAGTCTATAGATCTCTGAAGTGTTTGAAGATGACCTGTCTTTATTATATAACTTTGACATTGAAAACATACCTAAAGTGACTACAAGTATGATTGTTATAGTTGACTAATTACTAAATTACATTTCCTATTGGTCTTATATAGTTGATAATAATAACTTTCAAGGACTAGAAATTTGTATTACATAGTTAAATGAGGTGTGTAGATACAATACCAGAATATTAGAAACATAGCAAAATTAATATCAAGTGTGTATTAATATACAACTTTTACATACAATATATAGAAGTCTAATCCAGTGTGAAATGTTTAAAGCAAGTAGTCGCTTTTTAAGGGTAGAGTCAATAATTTACCTTTTCATCTCAACATCTCTATATCCTCCCTTTATTCTTTTCAATTTACCCTTTTTATCCTATCATATCTGGATTCCTCTTTTAAAAAAGCTTGACTATAATCCCCTTTGTTCATTTTCTTTCTGATCATAAGCAACATCATTTTGTAACCAATCCCCCTAAACAATGACAAATATCCATAACCCAAATAGGACCAAAAGCCACCCAACCCACTGCTTGGGAATGTGGCCATCATGTTCTTAAAGTTACTTCCTGCTGTCTGTGGGCAACAACATATCTAGGAGATTCTGAAAAGAAAATTTTGGTTAATTGTCAAGCTGTATCATTTGTTGTCCAGTCTTTGTATAATGGACAAGTATAAGACTTGTTTCAAATGAGGGCTAAAGTAGTCTGTGAGGCTGGATCACTTTAGCTAGCCACCTCAAAATTGTTCCAAGCAGTATCTGAGAGACTGCATCATCTCAGCAGGTCACTTCAAAATTGTTACAAGTCACCTCAAAATTGTTACAGGCAATTTGTAGTCCAAAGCTGATCTTTAGTTGGTGTTGCTCACCATAACAGTGTTGTCATAGTCCTGGTGAAATTGTCCTTGTGGGGCCCCATCCTCCTTTTGGAAACTTCAAAGGTCACTCTTAGTCATGACCATGGTTCACTGTAGAAAACTGATAAAGACTCAAATGTGAAATTATGTACAAGTAGGTGGATGAAATGGTTTTCTAGAATTCATTAGTACCCTCAGAGTAAGACTCCATCCTTTTAGGCCTTCAGTTAATAGAAGGATTAGGCAAAGTGATTCCTAGTCCCAGGAAGTAGTTTCACACAAAACCTCATGCAAACTGTAGCCCAAGCTTGGCAGGGTCCATCCCAATTTAGAAGCCAAACTTGTGCTGATTCTGGAAAAAAGAACCAAAATTTCAGGTCATGAGTTCCTAGTCTGTGGTTTCAGTTCAGTCCTGTTGCAGGCATCTATGTTTAGCAGAGTCATTGCCCCAGTGAGGAGACAGTGACAGTTCTTTGCATAAAACTGTGAGCATGAAGCCTGTGTTGTGTTTTCAGACCACAAGATGTTGAGATGATTAAGCTATGAGATACCTGCCATGCAGAATTGCATATAGGGACTGGAAGTAACCAAAGAGAGATTATGAGAAGTTGCAGGGAAAATGTGACATCAAAGCCCTTGAAACTGAAGCCCCATGTGTTTGAGACAGAGCTACTGGTTTTGGTGTTTGCATTCCCCTTTAGTAATATTGTTACAGTTTAAACTGGGGCACTTGCTGGGCATTGGTGATGCATGCCTTTAATCCCAGCACTGGGGAGACAGAGGCAGGTGGATCTCTGTGAGTTCAAGGCCAATCTGGTTTACAGAGCTAGTTCCAGGACAGGTTGCAAAGCAATACAGAGAAAGCCTGTCCTGGAAAATTAAATAAATAAATAAATAAATAAATAAATAAATAAATAGATAAACTGGGGCATTTCAGTTTTCTGGAAGTTGAATACAGAACTGGAGTGAATGCATAATTCTTCATGGGAACTTTAGTAAATATCTCTGGGTTCTTTCTAACACTTTTGTGTGATTGATTTTTGTAGAGGGGACTCACTTCATAGGCCAGGCTGGCATCCAACTCAATTAGATTCACCTGTTTCTGCCTCCTGAGAGCTGAGATTAAAGTCATGAGCTGAAACATCCAGCTTGCTCATCTTTTTTCTAGTTAATAAGTATTCATACAATTTCTCTGAAATGTACTCAGTACCATTTATCTGCTAGCTTGTCTCTCTCCTTATGTCTGTTAATTCCCATTTCTCTTCCAAGGCTATATTCTAATCAAAGTGCAGAAATGGCAGAGGTGAATCTCATTATTCAGTTTCTTTCTAAAATGACTTGGTGATTATATTAGAAGTTTTGTATCATGGAATAAGCATGGGGAGCATCAGAATTATATAAGTATATTTTCAAGAAAGTGTACATTTACAGTGTTGTCACTATCATACTTTCTGTTGTACACATGTTTGGGATATTTTAGAATACAGTAACCTATGATGATGTGCATGTTGACTTCACTGGGGAAGAGTGGGCTTTGCTGGATCCCTCCCAGAAGAATCTCTACAAAGATGTGATGCTGGAAACCTACAGGAACCTCACTGCTATAGGTAAAACTGAATTTTCCTTCATGTCTTAAAATAAGGGGACAACTCTATCTTGGTTATAGATAATATTCTGTAATTTTGTTTGAGAAAGAGAAAGAATGAGGTGAATAAATCAGGCATGGTTCTAAGGTTCACTGAAGATAGTAACTTTTGCACAATTTCCAATAATATGTCATACATTTTCTGGTACTATATTTTAGGCTACAGTTGGGAAGACCATATTATTGAAGAACATTGTCAAAGTTCTAGAAGACATGGAAGGTAATATTCATGTGCAAGGTGATACAAATGTGCCTATGGAGAAATTTTAATGTGTCCTGGAAGTTTTAAAGAAAAGCAACAGTATAAATAAGCACAGCTTAAATTGAATTGATTATTAAATTCTCAAAAAAAAAAAACAAAAAAACAAAAAACTATATACCTCAGTGTCAGGTAGCTGATAGGTGTTTACAAGGCATTCCTCTGAGAAAGAAGACAAAGAAACAATCCCTGAACTGATATCACTGTTTGAATCATAGCCCTATGAAAACTATGCTGTAGAACTGCCAATCATTTAGTTTCATACCACTCAAATATTATAAAAGGTATGCATGTTTAATAAGTGATAAGTATTTGTCCAAAACCTTCTAATAAACAGAGTCCATAGTAAAGCTAGTGTTGTTCATACACTTGTAACTGCTAAATTTAGTGAGAGAGGTAGTTTATGAGAATCAAGGTTGTTGTAGAGAAACCTGAGTCCCTACACCACATGTCTATGAAGAACAGAAAGTCAAACTGTGTAAATGCAATGTGGAAAACTTTTGTTTTTCTTCTTTTACTAGGTATATCATATATCACTCTGATACAAGCCATGTAAACATAGGGATATGGACAGAATCAACTTAACTCCCTCTGTCTCCCAACAATTAGAAGATATGTAGATAGACTTGTAAAATGTGATACAAGTTTACAGTTGGTTGGTTTTCCAACTTCATTGGGAATACATCAACAAACTCCTACCAGAGAAAAGCCCTATGAATATTGAAATGTATAAATTCTTCTGTTTGTCACAATTCACTTTGCAAATATTTGAGTGCAAAAGTGTGGTAAAGCTCTGAGCTCCTCTAGTTCTCTTTAAATATATGAAAAAAACTCACTTAGAAAAAAGATGCTATAACTCTGAGCCATATAATAAAGTCTCTTACCATCCCAGGCATCTTCAAAGATGCAAAACAACCCTTAATGACTTTAAACCTTAAAATCTGATTCCTCCTTCAATCAGAACAAATTGTAAAATTAATTCATACATATATAAAGATTCACCAGTATAATAAATGTGGTAAAGCTTTTTACATTTGCCAATTATCTTTGCAGGTATGAAAGTAGTCATACCGGAGAGAAAACCTCAGAATATAGTAAATGTAGTAACGCCTTCACATATTACAGGCATCTTCAAAGGCAAGAAAGAACTCATGCTGGAGAGAAACCCTATGAAAATATTCGATATGGTGAAAGCTTTATATATCACAGTAATCTCCGAAGATCTCATACTGGAGAGAAACCCTATGGATGTAATCAATGTAGTAAATCTTTTGCACATCACAGTAGTCTCCGAGTACATAAAAGAACACATACTGGAGAGAAACCTTACAAATGTAATCAATGTGGTAAAGCCTTTGCCTATCACAGTCATCTTCAAAAACATAAAAGAACACATACTGGAGAGAAACCCTACAAATGTCATCAATGTGGCAAAGATTTTGCAGATCAAACTCATCTTCAAGTACATAAAAGAACACATACTGGAGAAAAACCCTATGAATGTGATCAATGTGGGAAAGCCTTTTCACAAAACAGTAGTCTTCAAATACATAAAAGAACACATACTGGAGAGAAACCCTATGAATGTGATCAATGTGGGAAAGCCTTTTCACAAAACAGTAGTCTCCAAATCCATAAAAGAACACATACTGGAGAGAAACCCTATGAATGCAATCAATGTGGTGAAGCCTTTGCATGTTACAGTAGTCTTCGAATGCATAAAGGAACACATACTGGAGAGAAACCCTATGAATGTAATCAATGTGGTAAAGCTTTTGCACATCATAGTAGTCTCCGAGTACATAAAGGAACACATACTGGAGAGAAACCCTATGAATGTAATCAATGTGGTAAAGCCTTTTCATGTCACAGTAGTCTCCGGATACATAAAAGAATACATACTGGAGAGAAACCCTATGAATGTAATCAGTGTGGTAAAGCCTTTTCATGTCACAGTAGTCTCCGGATACATAAAAGAACACATACTGGAGAAAAACCTTATAATTGTAATCAATGTGGTAAAGCCTTTGCACGTCAAAGTCATCTTCAACTACATACAAGAACACATACTGGAGAGAAACCCTACAAATGTCATCAATGTGATAAAGCCTTTGCATGTAGCAGTAATCTTCGAATTCATGAGAAAAAGAAATCATTCTGCAGAGAAAGCCTTTAAATATAATCAGTGTGGTAAACTTTGTACTTAATTGTAGTCTTTATAAATGAGTAAAACTTTTAGTGTGTAATTGTCTGTTCAAGCTTTTACATATCACAGTAACCTTTGAGGACCTGAAAAAAAAACTAGTACAGAAGGGTATCTGACTGTAAAGGATTTGGTAATATCTTTAGCCAATACACTTACATTTAGTTATATAATATTATTTTGCAGAAAAGATCTGACAGGTGTCAACAATCTGTTCAAGCATTATACAAGGAAGTAACCCATTTAGATTTCATACTTCTCTTCAATTACATGAACTAATTCATGCAGGTGTTAAACTTTATGGATGTGTATCAGTGCCTTTTCTGTTTCTGTGATAAAACCTAATATCTAAGTCAACTTACAGAATAGTTTAATTTGGCCCTTGGTTGCAAAGCAATACAGAATCACTATGAAAATGGCATGGCAACAATTGTCAGATGTGATAGGTAAATCAGAAAGCTAAAAACTCACATCTCCAACCTCCACCATGAAACAGAGAATAGGATCTGAAAATAGTATGCAAATGTAAACTGTCAGGCTCACCCACCCCCAGTGACATATTTCTTACAACAGGACAGCATTTCCTAAATCTTTCCAAATGATACCACCAAAAAGAAGGATTAATTTCTCTGACTTCAAGTCTACATGCTTGCTTTCTGTTACATGAACCAATTAATGATGAAGAAAAGTTCTGTAAATAAATCTTCAGATGCCTCAACACCTGTGTTACAGTATTGAATACTTATATGAGAAAAACATTCATGAGTAAAAAAATTTTAATGCTTTGTTTTCATCTTAATTATGTGGTATTGATATGTCTTTGTGTGGATACGTGCATGTTTATGCTTTTCCCCAAGAAGGTTAGACCATGTAATCTTCTTGTAGCAGGATTTTCAGTATAAAACCTGACCTTGGTCCTGGGAATGAACTTGGCCATGTCTCTCACCCCTCACCCTATAAATATCTTAAAGACTGTATATATCAACTTGATGTTAGAAAATAGGAAAAGAAGTCATATAAGAGAAAAGTTCTATTCATGTGAATTATTTGGTAATGACTTTAAACATCAAAGTTTTCTTCAGTTTCGAGGAAAAGATGTTTAATCTCCTTTTCATGTTATCCTCAAAGAAATATATTATTTATCATGTTCATGCAAGGTAATGGTGAAGATCAACAATTGTGGTTGGTTGTGGTTTGTGTTTTGAAACATTTGGAGTAGGTATGGAATTTGCTGTATATGTGGCAAATTCATTTAGTGAAGTTTATTTTGTGGTCCTTCTATTCCTTCTGTGGCTATTTATTTTGGCACTTTCACTTGGTTGATGTATATTTTTATGCTGTAATGTATAGAATGTGATGCTCATCATCTAAGAGGTTCATTATTTGAACATCAGGTAGTGTGTGATCATAGTTTTCAAGTAAGTGTTCCTATGAAAGGGTGTTGGGTTATTGTTCTTGGTTTTGTTTTTCATATATTCCCAAATTCCCTTCAGATGTTATTTTTTGTTATCTTGCCTGTCTTGGGTATCTGTAATTAGTCAAGGATACATTTCAACTTTTGATTCTTATGTGTCAGTCTCTTGAATACAAGTCCAAGGATAGAAATGTACCCCCAATGTTTGCTGTTTTGTCTACACATTATAACAATGTTAATGTTAAAATTCTCAATAAAAGAGAGTATAAGAAACTGTAAATACCTTATGTGTGTATCTAAAGCAGCATTTTCATCTCTCCAGGTGAGTTGTAATAAGGTAATCAATAATCTACTGTATATCTCACAACAGAGCTTGATTTGATATAGATATTGATATATTATTTGATGTTCCATGTGTCTTCATGTTCCCATTATCTATTTGGCACTTCATCTGCAAGTGCTGACTTCTAGGGTGCCAGATAACATAACAGCAATGTGTGTGTGTGTGTGTGTGTGTGTGTGTGTGTGATAAATATGTGAATACTGAAGACAACTTTGTGGGGTCTACTTTTCACCATCTTTATATGTATATCAAGGTCAGACAGATTCCAGCCTTACACACAACAGGCATTTCCCCTTTGAGCACCCTCACTGATTCTCAAATAAGATTAGTTGATATATTACATCAATACAATGTTGTCCTCTTTTCACACTGTAAACATATTGTCATCTAAGAATGGATGGAAACAGGACAGTTTGAATAATAAGTCAAATTTGCAAATGAAAATTATATATTGTTATATTTACCTCTCTCTCTCTCTCTCTCTCTCTCAAGTGTTAGTTTATTCTGAGGGCTAAAAATTTGTTCATTATATTTCCTCAGAACCATAAATGAATCCCAGATGATTTTCTCAGGGGGTAAAATTGGTTGCTGCTAAGTCCGATGACCTCAGTTCAATCTCTAGGAGACCCATATTAGTCCTACAAGGTTTTCTCTTATTTCTACATTTGGGCTATAGCAATGCACTAGCACATATATAAATACTTTTTAAACCCACATAAGGACTAATGAGGTCACTTTCAGCCAAACCTGACTCCCTAGGTTTCATCTCTAGAATGCACACAGGAGAAATAGATAACTCACAGGGTAAGTAGATATTAATATCTGTAAGTTGCTCTCTCACTGTCACATACATATTGGAAGCTGTTTTTGTGGGACTGCAATGGGAACCAGCTGAGTGGGCCCGGGTCTGTTCCTAAGTGGGGATGTGTGGACAGGGGAAAGGCTAGCTATTGAATATGAAAGGAGAACAGAGACATGAAGTAATGTCAGGAAGGCAGATTCAGTCTATATTGACTGCTCCACCTTATTCATACACCAAAACTAAGTAGTCAACCAAAAGTGGGGTCAGTGGCAGAGGACTTCTGTTATTATGTATAATATTATGTATTATGTATAAAGGGCAAATAGCAATTACATTCCCTAATCCTAAAGACACTCCAAAGCCACACATACTCTCTGCCTTCAGGCACACCATAACTGTATGTACTCTCTGCCTTCAGGGTGAGTGTAAACCCATCTGGGCCCAAGTCTATTGTTATTTAGATAGGAACCATTCACCATCCTGTAGCTGGTAAACAAATGTCTTAAGGACAAAAGTAGTGATTTGAGCTATCTGAACTCCTGGCAAGATAGAATAGGTTCCCATATATGGGTCCCAACATGCACATATTGGCAAAGGTATATACACACAGAGTTCAAACATGTTTAAGTGGCTGAAATTAACAAAGGAAAGAAAATAACCCAATTATTGAGAACATGAAATGATTTGCAAGTTTAAATTATTATAGAATTTCAAGAAGTATTACTGTTCGTCAAAACAATGATGGTTCCTTTGTAATTCTTGTTTTACTCTTTCATTTTCTGATTTCAGCTAGGTTTAGAGGTGCGAGTCTGTAATCCCGGCACTTGGAAGACAATGACAGGCCAATCTAAACTTGAGGCCATTTTGGTTCACATAGTGAGTTCCAGGACAGTCATGACTATGTAGAGATAGTTTGTCTCAAAAAAATTCCCAAAAGAACAAGTATATCTCAAATTATGGAATTTTTCTTAGTGTAATCGAACTGGACTCTGACTGGTTTCTGCAAAACCTCTTGTGATCTTTGCTTATATTAAGAGAACTGTACTGATACACCACCCAGAGCCTGCCTTCCTCACACCCTTTGTCCTGCTGGGCCTGATGCTTGGGGAGAGCATTGGGCCACAGTGTGGGTCCAACACCTACTCCACCTCTGTGGAACTTCATGGGTCTGTTCTAAGCACACTGGACCCACCTATACATGCAGGACCACCTTGAGACCACACTCACATGATCTTTGGACTCCATTGCCTGCCCTCTGTCAGAGGAGAGACCTTCAAGAGAGCTTGGATCATCTAGAGTTACATCAAACTCCTCACCCACTGGGAGAGCAGGGTAGAGAGAGAGAGAGAGAGAGAGAGAGAGAGAGGAGAGAGAGAGACTACCTGCACCCACTGAAAGAAGCAATGGGAAGACAGCAATACAAGAAAACACCCAACAATGGAAAGACAAGCATGACACCACCAGAATCTAGAGACTCTACACCAACTAGACCTGAACACACCAAAGCAGAGGATGCAGAAGAAAATGACTTAAAAAATTACTTCATAAAAATGATAGAAGCCCTCAAGGGCACTGTGAGAAAATCCCTTAAAGAAATGCAAGAAAAAACAAAAAATTGGAAGAAGCAGAGGAAAAGACCAAGCCAAAAATGCAAGAAATGAACAAATCTCTTAAAGAAAGTAAGGAAAGCCAAGAAAAACAATCAAACAGATAAAGAAAACAATTCAAACAGTCGAAGACCTGAACACTGAAATAGAGACAATAAAGAAAACACAAAGTGAGGGGATGCTGGAAATAGAAAAGCTGGGTAAACCATCAGAAACTACAGATGCAAGCATAACCAACAGAATACAAGAGATCAAAGAGATAATCTCAGGCGCTGAAAATGAACTAGAGGAAATAGATTCATCGATGAAGGAAAATCTTAAATCGAACAACTCTTTACCACAAAATATCCAGGAAATGTGGGAAACCATGAAAAGGCCAAACCTAAGAATAATAGGCACAGGAGAAGGTGAAAAAACCCAGCTCAAAGGTGCAGAAAACATATTCAACAAAATCATGGAAGAAAACTTTCCCAATCTGAACACAGAAATGCTTATGAAAGTACAAAAAGCATACTGACCACCAAAAGCCCCCTCAACATATAATAATCAAAACACCTAACATACAGAATAAAGAAAGTATATTAAGGACAGTGAAGGAAAAAGGTCAGATAACATAAAAGCAGACCTATCAAAATTACACCTGACTTCTCCACAAAAACTCTGAAAGCCAGAAGGTCCTGGCTAGATGTTCTACAAGTACTAAGAGTTCACGGATGCCAGCCCAGGCTACTATACTCAGCAAAACTCTGAATCACTATACATAGAAAACAAGATATTCAATGACAAAGCCAGATTTTCAAAGCACATATCCACAAATTCAGCCCTACAGAAAGTTCTAGAAGAAAATACTCCAACCCAGGGAAGATACCTACACTCACAAAGACATAGGCAATAGATAATCTCACTTCACCAGAAACCAAAAGAAAAAGCAGGGCAAATACATTCACAATACCACCGTCAACAACAAATAAAAAACAAACAAGAATTAAAAATCAGTGATCCTTACTTTCCCTCAACATTAATGGTCTTATGGAAAGATACAGGCAAACAGAATGGATATGAAGACAGAATCCATCCTTCTGATGCATATAAGAAACACATCTAAGCTTCAAAGACAGACATTACTATCACGGTTACATAAGGATCAGGATAAACAAATAGGCCGAATAGATGTTTACTCAGGGAGAAATAACTTACAACCTAGACAGATGAACACCAGGAAATTCCACCCGATGCTCTCCTGTCCGAGTCACGCCAGCAAGAGAGCTTTTCCCGGAGGCACCCACACTCGTAAAAGAAATGCTACTAAAACTCAAAGCTCACATAAAACCGCACACACTCATAGTGGGTGGCTTCAACACCCCACTTTCACCACTAGATAGGACCACCAGACAGAAACTTAAGAAAGAAACAAAAGAAATAACAGAAGTCATATCCCAATTGGGTTTAACCAACATCTATAGAACATTCCATCCAAACACAAAAAATTATAATTTCTCAGCTCCACATGGAACATTCTCTAAGACTGACCACATACTAGGTGACATAACAAACCTTAACAGATACCAAAAAAAAAAAAAAAAAAAAAAAAAAAAAAAAAAGAAAAGAAA